ATTTAATTAGTCTATATGTGAAATAGTAAAAAAACGAATCAAGTCCCTTTGTGTCCGTACTTTCCCTTGATGGCCCGTTGAATTTTCGATATATCAAGTCCCAGTGACCTTGACCTTTTGACCTGAAAATGTATGTGTTAGGTATAACTAATCAAGGTGTCTCTCCGAATATGAAGTTTAATTATTACAGGTCAATAAATATTGGAATGAGTGACAAGTCCCATAAATGTCTATATAAATCAAATACCCTCTTGTGTAGGCCAAACGTATAGGGTCTCCTAATGTACATCATGCCAACTTCCATGTTTGTATAAAATGCATATGTGAAGCGGTATCATCCTCCAAAAGTGTTATTAATGCAGACTATGGCATGGAAGCACTGTAGAATGTTTGAGGTGAAATCTTCTTTGTTGTCATTTTGCATGATTACTTAATAATTATGTAGAATTAGGACCATTTCTCATAATGTAAGTCTGGAAACACCAATAAAAACAGCGGTAAACTCCACATCGGAGAGTAAAGTCACTCAATACCGGAAAGAATAAAATTATCCAAAATTTAATTTTTAAAAAATGCGCACAATCAGATGAACACTTATGATTATTAACCAATCAAAATCTTACTTTAGAGAAGACAGATGAAACACAGTAAATTAAACGACATTGTAAATATGATTGATAAAAACGAAATCACGAAAAGTAACCTTTTTTTACATGATCATATCTTTGCGCTTAAAGCAATTCTGGATGCTTTTTTAAAAATGGCGTCAAAATAGAAGGTTTTTAGCCGCTATGTAAGATACAATTTGATTGGCCAAAAATTATGTTAAAGTTCAACTCAGACGGGTTAATCATATTAAAAGCTGGAAGCCAAGTGTCAGTTAAAATTAGGATATATTTAAAGTTTTAGGTTGTTTTCTATTGCTCCCTCAGTAAAATCCTAACATTATGACATCAGCAGGGATAAATAAACATTTAACATAATGTTCGATCAACTGTCACGGAGAAATTACGCGACTACAAATCCGAGATTAATTCCCTATTGAGCTATGGAACGGAGACACTTTTGATTTAATTTTTTGATGTGATAGTTAAAACATGTACATGTAGTTTGTTTCAAAGTCCTATGATAAGAAGTTCCATTGATTTTTTTCAATTTTCATAACTAACAATAGTTTATTCCTTTTACAAACAATCAAACATCAATCTGTGTCTAAGCACCACGTAAATGTTCCATTTTAATCCTCCACTTTCAAAAGGAGAACCATTGACATTAATTCACATACTGTAACTATGACGTTGGTGCGTGGGCAGCATTGCGTATCCAGATATTTTGTAAAAGTCTAATTTTCTTTGTTGTTAATTAAATGGTATTTTTGCTGCCATATTGCATGTTGCCTCATCAATCAAATGAAATATCAGTAAAATGTTTTTAGAAACGCGTTGTTTATTTTGAATGTCAATGACTTTGGAAATATTGCAATTATATTTATGCCTAATGGTATGATTGATTAAGAATTTCAAAGTTTGCTACATTTTAATTCATTCAACATGCTACTTATTTATAATTGCAAATGCCTTATATTTGTTTTTAAAATACAATAACAATAAAACGTGTGGTAAATGTCTTTAATCTACTGACTAACCTCTCTCCGGGGACGTGCTTTAATTAACTCGCGATAACAGACTTAACTTTGTTGAACTGCAATACGTGCATAGATAATCAAATATCAGATTCCTTTTGAAGACACTTTGTCCAATTCCAATTTATTTCGACTGATGAAGATAGATTCACAGATTGTTAGGCACAGAATGATTACTGTCAGTGGAATGGTGTAAATGCATTGAAAACAGATTGAATTACTTTCAAATAAGATCATAAGATCAATTCATTTTACTATTAATGCCTTACAATTATGTTACATCAATCACTGACTAGTTTCAATGTACTTTTTTTGAAATTTATTTTAGGAAAAGGATTATTTGTAACGACAAAGACAAAAAAAAAAATTATTTTAGGTATTGACAGGAAGTTAGCCGGACAAAACGTTTACAAAGCTTTGCGTTGTTGTCCTTGTTTAATATATTGTATTAGTTGGTGTCTTTTGTAAACCGGCAGGACATGTAGAAGATTCAGAAAACAAATTAATCATCATGCGGAAAGAATAAAGCAAAATGTTCAAGACTCTCAATTTGGTTATAATATTTTCGCTTTTTGCTCATTATTTATTTTAATTTTCGAAATTTAAACTCTACCGTTATAAACATATTGCCAACATATTCCTGTTGTGTTGTTAGGCATTGGATTTTAAGCAAATGTATTGCGTGTGTTCCCGCGATCATTTTACTCAAATATGAACTATGAAGACGCATCGTTTATAAATGATCGATAATATCATAATAAGGTAAACCATTTTTGTGTTATCACCAGTGTTGGTGTGCATACCATGTTGAATATATTTATATTGTGTTGTGGTTCTTTTACTACCGTGTATTTACAGCGTGTCAAAATAAATATGATTTTATATAATCTTTATGAGCTTTTTATGATAGTCACAAACTAAAGTTTGTTACATCAGTTCGCATAAGAATATTTTCTTCCCTCCCGTTTACTAACATAAAGACAAGACAATCTCTCCATTTCTCAGTACAGTGATCATTTTATTTCATGTGAACATTCCTCTTGAAAAAAAAAGTTACTTCCAGACATTCAATCATAAATCAAAGAAATAAACTTCCTTAAAATGTCTACAGCAAGAAAATGTCTTGCTTTTCTTCAAAGATTAAACTGTCTTCATAATCATTTTGTCTGATCAAGAAATAACAAACTGTCATTAATTTTCTCTTTGTATATCTACAGACGGACAATTTTCATAATTATATACAATTATTGTTAATTTGCTCTTCAAACATACAAGTTTTATTAATAACAAAGTTTCATCAACATTTGTCAATGGGTTTAGAAAGAGAGTTTTATCAATATTAAGTGGAGATTTGGGTTAAAAGAATGAAACGAGTTGAGCAATTTCTACATCGTTAATACATTTCAAGGCGCAGTGATTTAGGAGAAGGTATAGGTTATACCAAAACAATCTAAAGTTGACTACGTCATAAAGGTTTGTGAATATATTTCACTTGAGCATGATGGTCTTTAAAATGTGTAATGTAGACATAACATAATTAAGTGCAGTCAATATAAGCTTTCCGTTGTCAACTTATAAAGTCCAGTTTTGATAATTCTACTGATGCTTCGTACAGTAATCATCTAGAAGGAAAATACACAAACAAAGTGTAATTAAATCAGGGAAAAAGACAATAAGAAAAAATTTAAAAGTTAGAAGTAAATAATTACCAAAAGAATAAATTGTTGAAGTATACGCTCTAGATATAACAAAATGTTATCAAATCAATCATATACTTTGATTAGGTCTGTATTATTTTAATTCATTGTGTCAGGTTTTGGAAAATGTATCGGTCTTTTTTAAGTTTTTAAGTTTCTTTCTGGTGACAGGATTTAATATAACAATATGTTGACATCATCAACATAATCTTCATCATTAAAACTGCTTCTAAAGCAACTAATGAAATTGGTGCATACATAAAATAAGAAATGGTACGTTCTTGATAAAAAATAATGCTTTTGAAGTCTAGAATGAAGAAAACTGCTTACGGAAATCTTACTGTCATTCTTTTATAATTATTGTATTATCTAGTTTCAGTTACCATGAAAATGTCCAACACTTCTATCTTATATTGATTGACGTGTTATGTTTTCTCTGCAGTGGTCGAAAACATTCATGACGATTTGTAGTACATGTCCTTTAACATGAACTAAGTTGAGAACTTTGTAATCCAGTATAGAACATTAACTCCCTTCATATTAATTTGTCGACTAATAGCTGTTAATATCAACTTCAATTTGTAAAAGTATTAGATGTTAATAAATAATGTTTTGCTAGGGAAGTGAATAGTTTAGAATGATTTTATGAATCGTTTTCTGATCAAGATTAAAATATTTATATCTATAATATCACGGTATAGTTTCAAAGATCCTCTTTCGATACAAGAAGTCTAAAGTGAAAAGCAGTTTTCAATTTTAAATATGAAACAAAAAATGACTTTTTAATTTGTATCTCACATGTTTCTGCAGTCGATTTGTATGAAAATAGAGATAAACGGAATCTGTAAAGAAAGCCCAAAAAGACGAAAATTCAAACTGTTGCAGGCTCAGTTTGGTGGATGGTACTGAAAATTGCAAGGTTAATTACGTTCGATTTCAGCAAGGTAAGGGTTTATTTAGGACACTAATTTGCTTGTCTTGATAACCGTAAATCACGTAAACTGGTCAATATTTAAGTAATTTTTTTCATCTTTATTTAGGAAATGATTAATTTGTTGCAGAAAGGTAATATATTGATTGTTATAATAGCTATCAGTTTTCACATTATAGAATAAAACTGAAATGGCATGAAACATACACCTAAAAAATACTGTTTAAAAATGTTCAAATTAACAGTTAAACTTGATTTAAAGAAATATATACATGTATGTGTAGCAGCTAGTCCTATCCTAAAAACGGCCTTTGCTCAAAATAAACGAAATGATACAATTTTGAATTGTACGGTCCCCTTGTGGCTGAGGTGTTGTCTTTAAGGTTTGAGGCATCAGAAGTGCAACCACTGCTGATCTATAACTGATCGTATAATTCTAATTATTGGAATCTATAGAATCTCTTTGCTCCAACAAGTGAATTGTTTTTACCCCTGGTATTGCTTTAAGTTTGACTATCAATGGTCTTAATGTTTTAAATGTTAACAAATACGCCTTTTCCGTAACACCCACAAACGCTCGAGGATACATTCCAAGCACGAGTACTCAGTCATAAATCCTTAAAATGGTAGTCATGACCACACAAGGCATGAATAAAGTGATGAATAAATCTTTTTAGTAAATTTCTATGGAATATTTATTTTCAATCTTAGGATTATTATTTAAAAAATCAACATGCAGATGTGCTTTGATCGGAAATCGAAATTTACTTTTTACATGTCAAACAACATTTAGTTTCCTTGCCCCAAGCCTTTTTACAACATTTAGCTTTTTTGCAACAAACCCTCTTAAAACTTCCATTAACTTTTATTTTTGCACAACATTTGCGTTGAAAACAAGGCGTCATTGGACAACATGACTTGTAACATTGAGTATCGGCCGCTTCTCTCATTTCGCAACATTTTTTACCCTTGCAGCATTTCCTTTTCTTGCCAGTTTTTACACAACATTTCTTACTTTCGTTACAGGTTGTTGTGGTTTTCTCAACACAGCGACCTCGAAAACACCACTAAAATGAATAAAAGAAGTTATTGTATACCTGTGTATACCACAACTTAATGGAGAAAAGGAACAGAAACATTTATACTAATTGAACGGCCATTATTAAAAGAATGCTTTAAGTTCTGATGGTTTACGTATTCCGGATGTTCTATCTAAATTGGATCATTTAAAAAACAATATTATGTTACAGGTAATAATTTTTTTTCGCGCGTTTTTCAAAATTTTGCAGCATCATATTATCACATGTAGTGGTATTGAACAAATAAATTAAAACAACAACGAAACCTTATTATCCTCTACAGCACCGCATGGTGTCCCGGCCAATGGGTAAAGTGGGTAATAAGGTTCTTCACATCCGACAGGTAGAATAGAACTTGTGGAACAATGATAGCCATTGTAACAATTCTCTTCTTTTATTGTCTTAAATAGAACACCATGTAACTTCAATGTTTATGATATATCTTTACTTACAAAAAATGAAATAGTACAATAGTTGTATCCATTGTAAAATTTTCTTTATTTTTTCTGTATAAGATAGGCATATAGATAGAATTATTTACACTTTTTCAAAGTTATTTTGCAATCAATAAGTAGAATAAAATATTTGTCCATTTCACAATGTTTAACCCTTACCTATAAGGTGATAAATCTTTGTCGGCTCAGTTCCAGGCATTGAAGCTTGGAAATCTGATTTAAGAAATTCAAAGTTGTTTTTTTTTTCAAATTTTAAACATTTATGACAGAAATATCATCTTGTTACAAGTTTGATAACATTATTATCTGAAATAAATGCTAGAAAAAATATCAGGTTCATTTGAGCACATTGTGTAATGTATGTTCAATAATTACTTTGATTACCTTAAATACTACGTTTAAGTTTTTTTTAATGACAGCATAACCTAACGTTTGATTAAAAACAAGAATATATTTACACTATCGCAAGATGTCGACCAGATTCCGTTGTACATCTGGCATTGCTGGGTCAAAGAGTAGACTGTACCCGGAAGAGATTTTTCCTGTAGCTCTTCAAAATCTGAATCTGTAAACGCATGCTTTTTCAGGCAATTAGGTTTGAGACTGAAATAACAAAATATATATTAATGATGTACTCTTTACTTTATGGCAATTCAAATAGTATTATATGTTAATCATTCTGTTCTTAGACAACTGTTTATATGTCTATATCAATTCCTTACTTGAGTATTATATCATGCTTCAGGTCAACAATGATAGAATGAAAGTATGTTGTTCACAAACAGCCTTCTTGTTTTTAAACGCTGTATTTACATCCCAAAATAACATGAAAATGAGTCTGGCAATCAGTTATAGATCTTGTACGATATTACTTTTGAATGAAAAACAATACCGTTGAATAAATGATTTAAACGCCGCCACACTGCACGAAGAAAAAGTCCACTGGGCTCGAGAGTACGTTAGGTCTGTGGTCGACGACAGAATAGCTGACATTATGTTTTTGGTCGAATCTTGACAATCAGTAAGGCTATCATGTCGAGCACTTAAACCATGTCCCAGTTCGTGAGCGGCTGTCAGTGAAACTCTCTTTCCATCCACTTCAGAAAATGATACCTGCGTTCAGATGGAAAAAAATATTGTATTTAATATACAAAAAAATCTTTAAAACAATATCACCATATAAAGAATAAACCATAACAAAACCACCTGGTACGGCCTGCAACAATTTCAATTTTGTTGTTTTGCGTGATCTTTAGGAATTCCATTTTCTCTATAACATGATATACGGAATGATAAATTACGGTCTTTCCATTTTGTTGTGTTGGACTATCTTTAGGCATTTCTGTTTTTCTCCGTGTTTTTTGTGCCGTGTGGCGGCTGCAAAATGTCTCCCCGTACATTCAATCAATGATGTTATATTTTCGATCCTTGAAAATCGTTCAGCCCGACATTATTGTTGTGTATAAATGTTATTTGGTACTTTTGTTTCTTCTTTTCGGCCATTTCAACTTGGGTTGTTTCAGTATTCCTTCTTGAATACTGTATCATCACTCTTAGGGTATGTTGCCTGCTTTTTGACGTCTTATCTGTGATATGCAGGCTTCATAACCTCAGTTCCCCTTTCAAAGTTCCATTTTATTTAGTTCCGCCCATTGTTTGCTCGTTTAGGGTAAAAGCATTCTTTTACTTGGGGACCATACACCGCTTTTCATGGAATGGCACTACTGTGTCACATTGAAGGTTCCATGATAACTGCAGTATCAACACATCTGCGGATGTTTCTAAATCAAAATTTCACCATTTTCGTGTTAAATGTTGAATTCTGCTTAAGCCGGTGCTAGGGGACGTGGACGGTAACTTGCACTTTCCAATACCGTCCATGAACAGGCTCAATCAAACCGAGCTTGCAACATTTTCAATTCTGTTGTGTTGGACTTTCTTTAGGGATTCTGTTTTTTCTCTATTGTAGGATAGCATAAGTTATTTTTCGATGCAGGCTATTTAAGTGCAAACTAATATTTTTTGGTATTCCCAAGGCTTTTGAAAAATGTTCATGTTATGAACACTTTTTTCCTGTCATTTTAAAATTAGTTCTTACTTTGGATGTGGGAGAACACACGGTTCCAACATAAGCACGTCCCTCAACTCCTGTGGTAATGGGATTTTTCTCAAAGTCTGCCAAATCCAGTCTAAAAAAATGAAATATTCATTCTTAAAAATCTACAAATAGTTGATGAGATTGATTATCAATTTTGCTAAGTGTAAAGCAATTTAATTACATCTCCAATACACGCATTAAATTGGCATGTCTCCAGATGAGTAAAAGAAATCTGCCAATATCAAACAATTATAATAATTCATATTGTAACGCATGTTTCCATAATCTAGATGAAACTTTGAAAGTGTCTTTTATTCAAACGTATAACAAAATTAACGAGTTATGTTACATAAATTCTATCCTGAAAATAAAGGTTGCTTGTTGTTTGTTTTTAAGTCGATTTCAAGCGTTTTTGTTAATACTGCCGCGGTCACACCTAACCGGCTTTTTTAATAAACTAATCGATAAAGCTAGCGAGAACGCCACTCTGACATGCTAGCAGCATCATTTGCTTTATGTAGACAAAGGTACAGGAAAACACACCTTACCATTTTGTGGATAATATGCCTTTATGTTTGGCTTATAGTATTGGCTTGTAGACCTCTAAACGTTTTATAAATTATGCACTTTAAATTGTAAAAAGTGCCTCCATATAAGAAGTCATAAAGCGTCATAAGAAAAATTAGGACAACGCATTTTTAGACAAGTTTCTTTAATTAACCTCTACCGTTATTGAAAGATAAGTTTTGATTACTAATACAAATTAACATTTGGGGGTATATTGCCCCCGCGTTTGCGATGCTCTTGGGGTTTTGTTTTATATCACGTGTCACTGAAACTACATGTTTTTAAAAAGGAAGCTTCCTTTAGAAAGAATAGATTAAACTATAAAGAATTAATATTATGTGCATACGTTGATAACGCCATTAGATGATCATGCTGAGGAAGACTATTTTCATTAATTAGCCAAGACCTGACACTCGGGAGAACCAACAACTTGTCCAAATACGTAACACCGTTATATAATCTCTGAGTCTTTAATGACCAACTTACATCTGAGCCAACCTTTACAAAATGAAAAAAGAAATCTTTACATTATGCACCATTTCTGCTCTTTTAAGAGAGAATTAGTTCACAACCAAGTACATCTATATATTTATATACATGTATATAAAAACAACAAATGACATTTCATTTTTTTATATATAACATATAATCAGTATTTGTGCATGTAAGTAACTCCTTGCATGCATTAATTATCCATTTGTTTAGACACACTTGAAACGTGTGTTGTATTGTTGTTAAAGTTGATATGAAAAGAGATATAACAATAGACTTTTTGCAGTGTATGTCCATTAGTTAAATATTAATGCCATCATTTTATGTGTATTCATTGAAAGAAAACTAGCGTTAGAAGGCAGTTAAAGGTTACAAAATCTTACCTTTGGAATGACGACACCAGTTAAGAAAACTCTGATGCTTAAGCTAGGATCAACCATTTCTACACTGCTGTAGTGGAGATCAATCTGAAAAGTACACATAAAGAAGCAAAATGTTCAACATCTAGTTGACGTGTTTTCTTGTCTAATATGTAACTGATAAAACAATAAGACACTTTGTTCATCAATTCTGTAAATGACGGCTAATACGTCTAACAACTTAAACAAATCAATATGGTTAGACTAACAATAAACATTTTTTTTGTCTTTACGCTTATCAAACAAACATTAAATAATTATACGATATAACAAACATCTCTGACTTTGCATTGCAGAAATATTCGTTGCGCATTATTAATTTACTTCGGTTTTTTTATTTATTTGATACTGTTTAAATTATGTGAACAAAATAACAATACGATAGAACGCTTTCTACTTCGTTTTTGTTATCCTGTTATACTTAATATTTTCATGTTAAAGTGATAAAACTGGTCAAAGTCAATGAACTTTCCCTCTTATAAGTGTTCAATATCAAAAAATATAAAAGAAAACATTTACAATCAATACAGAACGAAAAAGTAAATTAATATATAAATTGTCCAATTGAATAAATATAAAAAAACAATTCCGCTACAGTACCGTGTCACAATAAGTACCCAGCGCCTAAAGTATGATCTTATTTGGTAATTTCCCGATTATATCAAGGCGGCAAACATAAAATAATTGTTGCAAATTAAATCTGTAAGATGAATATCTTATTTCTTGATTACTTTCTTTTTTATTGTTAACTTATTCAAATTAGCAAATTAAGTTTCATTTCGAATATACGGTTTCATCAGCTCAAAACGTAAATAGTTCAAATATGTCATAGAATTGTGTACAGTATTTCAAGACAAAAATGCTACATTTTATGATAGTGATGCTTTATCATATTGTATGGCCAGCATATAACTTAAAATCAATGTAAACATACCTCATTTGCTAGCAGTGCCGCATATAATTCTATCGCAGAATTGGCCTCGTCAGATCCATATATTTCTGAAAATCTGAGAGATCATTTTGAATATAAAAATCTTCGTAATTGAACGGAAGTTTAAAGGGCATACACTAGTCTTTCTTTGTATATAACAATGATATAATGTACCGGTTACGCAAAAGAAAACAAATATTCATGCAATTTTCTAAGATAATAAGATGTAAACAGTCTATAAAACATTACTTTTGATGTAATGCCTTGTCAACTGTAAACAGGAGTTCAACAACGTTTCCTTTTGAGGTTGAAGTTCCGCCGTTTAAATAACTGGAAACGGGTGGACTTCTCACTGAATGATAAACAGAGAAACACGAAGGTCATGACAACCAAATCACATGGAGATTCGACTTTATAAAGTAAGTTAACAATATCCTAAAGCTTGACACGTATCGCAGTCACCTAAATTAGCGGTCATTCATTTCATAGATGAAAATTCTTTTTATAACTAAATAGGTCAAAACAATAACTTTGATTTAATGAATTTTGTTATCTTCTGGTCAATTACAGTATAGCATTGATCACTTACTAAAACGAAAACATTACAGAAATAAACATTAACACAATATCAAAATGTCATACAAATGGTACAAAAATGATATGTTACCATTGTAGTCGTCATCAGGTGCCATTTCAGTATCATCGTTGAAGTCTTTGTTTGGTTCGTGAGTTGGCTGGATAAAATGATATGGCGAAGGCTCTGGCACGTTCGAATGACTCATGTGGTAAAGGACATCGTTATGGTTGAATGAACCGTGCTGAATTGAAATGAAACCTGAATTTTTCTCACAACTTGAATTTTTCATTTCAGTTGGAATAACACAGCCTTGAGATTGTTGTATCTTGTACTTACTTTATCGTCTCATATACGTACATGTGATACTTAACAACATGATTTGGTTATTTGAAAATAAAATGAGAACAAAATCGCGAAAGTGTTTGAAGAAAGATTATTAAATTTTAAAAAAACTTAATATCACCTTAAGCCCATTTTTCCTTATAGCTAGCTATACATATGTTATTCAAGAATTCGTGGAATGGGTATTCTTATTTTTGTCTTTCGATAAAGAAATTTATGCATTTGTAGACCTCTGAAAAATATGATATGAATTATCAGTACTTTAAAATGACACGAGATAATGATAAAGCCTTAAGAAAACCGTTAGCAATTCAAAAACATTATTCATAGGAATAGTTATGTTATAAACTTACTAGTCTGTATGTGAAATCTTCTTGACAGGTTACAAGTACCGCACTACCATGTAACTTATCTTGGTAAAGAGCAAATTCCTAGAATTAGATAAGTATCCAAAATCACATGCCTTATATAATAGAACATGTTTTGGTGAAGAGTTACTATTTTAGATTAAAACAATCACAATATAAGGAAATGTAAGTGCACCTTTGTACAAGACAAGTACAACGAGGATAATAGAGAAAATTCCAGGAAAAGCGTATCTTGTAAAACAAACAAGTCTAAAATTTAATAATTGAGGATGCCTATATTTGCAATAACAACACCACGTTTTTGTTAAGAAACCATGAATACCAGTGCAGGTACAATGTTATTTTGATATCAACAATTTCATTCATGCCTGGGATAACTATTACAAGTACATAGCATTGCCGGCACGCAAACAGAGTTTTCAAGTTTAATACTCACGCTGGAAGAGTTTTTTTCTTCTTTGTATGACCGCCCGTTGTAGGTGACATATATTGGAACTCTTCTCGACAAGTAAATATTCTTTTTTAAATCAAGGATAATTTGTTTATCCTTTACCCGGAATGTGAAATTTAGCGTAGAAGGGAAATGACAGTCTTGCACATCCCTTGTCAACCTTACTTTCCCAATTGTAATCTCATTTACGGTCACTTGTTCTATCAATAAATTAAAATTAACATAACAAAAATACAAGTAAGCATATATAACTAACATATACATTAGGAAAATGAAAAATAAAATGTTATTAAGGGAACTTAAAATACGACAATACCACTTAAGTTTCGTTTTCCTTTCTTTGCATTATGATGAATGTATGTAAAATATACTTTTATTTATTATTCTATATAGTCATTCAAATTTAATCTTTAAGTAAAATAAGACGGAAGCAGATGATTTATAGAATAAAATTTTTATCTTCGTTTACTATTCCAATTCAAGTTTGTGTGTATGTTATGAAATTGCTCACTTGGTAAAAATGCAATTTGCTCACTCCGCATATTTAATTTTAATGGTATCATATGAATGCATGCTAGTTTACAACGACTATTTCACAATGCAGATTTTTGAATTGTTAAAATCAATGATTTCATACAACAATGAGAGCATATATGTGCAATTCCTACATTATTCATGTAAAGTTAATAATAATATTATAAAGCAAACAAGAACTGTTTAAAACGTACCGACATCTCCTGTAAGTGGCGACAACTTTGGTAACGCGTGTGTTGTCAAAGTACACAAGTACCAAGTACCCAAGGAAATTATTCCAGCGAAATGTAGCATTTTAAGGAATATTTAGCTACTGTAACAATATTTTATTTTCAAATTATGTTACCAATTACTAACACTACTGCAAGTTTTTACTTTGAGTTTAAGACAAATGTTAAGTAAAATACACGTTAGTCGGTTCTTTTCCTAAAATTGACTGCAAAGTCAAAACATTCAATCGTATATATAAGGCCATTACTGATATAAACATTTGTTTGTTGTCCACTATTGTATCTCTGACAATTTCTGTCATTAACAAATATCCCTACAGACTGTTTATCAAGATTATATGGTTTTAAAGACAAACCATTTTACTCCAGATGCAAAGTTCATAAATTGCATTGATAGTGTCAGGAAAAGCTTCCGTACATTTTCAGCGTCATATGAGGCAGACTTATTAATTTTAAAGAAAATGATACTTGTAATAGATTTTAAAAATCAATCAATACATGTCACAGTACTTTCCTTGTTCAGGTCAGTGTTGGTTTTTGTGTGTGTTTTTTTATCGAATATCTGCAAAATACTTGAAAGCTTATTTCTATCTCAGCTAAACCTCATCCATATTTAAAGTTCTATGGCAATAAAGGTAAAAGTTTGTTAAAAATCACAAACTTTTTGTAGTATTGGCCTGTTTTTCGTTGTTGTTTTTTTTCTTCGTTTTAGAGATAATCTAAAAGTTCATCTCAGGTTACGGTAGTTCATTACGTCGTTAAAATTGCTTCTGGCGGAATTATTACGCAAACCGATTAATATTTGTACAAAAACAGCGATATTGAAACTGATAATAGTTATTTGACATATAGTTCATCAAACATGTTAATATAATTATATAAAGTATTGTTTTGAGTGACATAAAAAAAGTTTTAAAGCTTCGCTCACTATAAACTTCTCTTCAATAAAGTAATTAATATCACTAAATAACTGTTAAGATCATTTGCAACTATGTACATGTTTATAAGCTTATATAGTTGTCATTAATTTTATGAATAATAAGTACAATGTAGGCTTAAATTTGGAAAGGATAGAATCTCCGAAATAATTAAAACAGTAACAGGTGGCTGTAACTCGCAGACTCTGTTTACCGGCTTAAGCAGAATACAATCCTGGACATTGAAAGTATTGTATCAAATGATCCGAAGGGTCGAGAAAAAATTGATAACACTGAAATGGAATATCAGCTGGCACACTTTGTTACAGGTATAACATTTTGAGACAGGCAATAATTGAAAACCAACCCAATTGACTATCAAAAAAAGTACATTGAACTTACATTGGAAAGAAAAGGAGGCATAATCAACCATACTTTAATTTAGTTGAGTACACAGAATATATTGTATTTGCTTGTTGTGTATGCATGATGTAATAAGTGTTAAATATAATGAATAATTTTCCTACAATTGCAAGGCACCGCAAGAGATGATTATAAAGTATATGGTTGCAATTTAAGGCAAACGTAGCCAATTTACATAACTTATCACAAAAGTAAATAAATTCATTCACTTTTTCTGTAGTTGAGAAGACGGAAATATAAATCAGAAAGGCGTCACTGCGCTTTTGACGTTGTAGGTTATAACGGTTCTTAAAGTGAGATTTGTGAGATATTGCATTAAGTAAATTGTGAAAACTTTGTGAAATATACCGTGTATAGACTTAAAGATAAATATTATAAATTTTATAAATCTTCCATTAAAACCGAAAGATAACATTTAAGGTAAACGTTAAAAATATAAAGAAGATTATTTTTAGAATACAAATAGTATTATTAGTATTATTAGTTCTCTATCCATTCCCTGGACAACTTTTATCTAAATTCTACGGTGCTCTAAAATGTAGTATTTTCTGCACGGAATTACCTCAAGAGTATTGCATGTAAACCCTATTGGTTCCTATTTGGAAATTCTGTAATTTTGCACACATTTTACTTGATAAAGTACTTAGCGATATTCCAAACTGTAACGCGATATCTTTTTGCTTGAAACCGTTCTTGAACTTCAGTATGGATTCAATTTGTTCTCTAAAGAAATAGATTTAGGTTGGTAACGTTCGCTGAAGCCGCTTTGCGTGTAATATTCAACACAATTCGTATCTGATTGTAGCTAACATTATTGCTTTTTTCACATAAGGGCACTGGATTAAATGTCATGAAATTATTTTTGAATCAGTAGCAAAGGGGAAAATGTAGTAAAGAAATCTTTTGTCAGGCCTAAGGTTAAGTAAGTTCATAGCTTATTTACATTATTACACCGTGTTTCATGTACGGAAGTAGTAAGCATGTATGCAAGTATCACATACCTATTCTCTTCGTTTCTATTTTGAACTGAGTGCGGCCTATTATTCCAAGATCAAACGGCAACACTGCCAGTCAACACAGATCTTCAGAAAATGCTCATTTAATTTCTAATGAACATAAAATACCATCCCCAGATGGAGTGTTATTAGTTTCAGATTTTAAAGATTTCAAAGAAAAGATTCATTAAACAAGTAACTTAAGCTGGGATTTTATAAAAACAACGTGCATTTATCTAAAGGCTGTGCAATGGACGATTACATGAATGACAGATTGTCCTTCACATGAGGTAGTTTATGAAGAAAATATTCTCTGTTGATAAAACCATTTCCAAAATTCGTATTTATATGTATTTGTAATTTAGCTGTCCGATTTTATTTTGTCTAAAAACATAATTTCATTTTGATTTTTAGATGGTCAAGTGTTTCACTTATTTAAATCTATTGCTGTTTTCTGACAAAGGTCGATTCTCCAGAAAGGAAATCTAATTCTGACCTGATCGTATAAATACATGTATATCGCCCCGTATTGGTAAGTGGGTACTATCTAAACAACACCTTATTAATGGGCAGGGGACCTAGAAATGAACCATTTGTATTTATGTGTGGCCAGACACACTATTTCAAATATTTCAAAATCTGTCTCACAGGCAGATAACCAGTTGCACAGCATTATAAATAATATATAACATGCATTGAGGAACATAATAGTTTGCATGCATTGCTCCTTAAAAAATGACTGACAGCACTTAAGTTTACCCAGCCAAAATCACACCTTAAATATACCAATATGGGCAATCTTCATGAAGGTGCAGCATATTCCAGAATCCACCCGATTCCTTTAAACATATCTCTTACACACAGTGCAATCAATGGCATTTTCAAAAATGAGCAATAAAGTGTCTTCCATACGTTTAGATTTTTCACAAAATTTATTGTTTTGTTTTTAAAGTCATTGTAAATGTATATAGTTCCATTGTAAAGCGCCTTTGAACATTTTATTTTTTGAGAAGGGCGCTATAAAAATGTGGTTATTATTATTATTATTATATCCAAAATTTCATACTTGTTTGGCGCCAACTGTCAAAGCTTGATTTTTAACTTTTTCAACTCCATTCGGAGAGTCACAAATACATTCAAAGCTATCAAAATGCTTAATTACGGGTAAAAACCCAATAACCTTCTCATTTCCTACACACAAACAAGAAAGAATTACAATGACAGAGAAATGTCAAAAAGTTTGACCGGGGCCATCATTCAGATATGTTCCCTGCCCCCTTATCAAATGTTTGGTTTTTTATTCATCACAATATCAGTGACACTTAAGTCCATTATAATTGGGTTAATGAAATTAATGATGTAAGTGTAGTTATATAACAAGGAAAACATCTTTTGATACTAGTAAATAGAGATGAAAAATAAACATTATAATCAATAAGAGAAAAGTGTTTCTAAATATCATATCAAGTACTCAATATATGATATAAATATATTGAGTTATTTACTACTGCCAAATGTACTTGGTTCGAATATACTCATTTATTATATGGTCAAAATATAGCTGCAATCTCATTGGTCCAAACAGTAGTAAACTTAACATTTTTATGGAATCATATTCACTGGGTGAGGAATCATATTCAGTGTCTTAATTGGATTTTCCCAGTTTAAAAATAGATTGAGACTCATATTCAATGATCATCTATCGTAGACTGTTATTTGCTTTTTAATAGTTGTTGCGTTTTGTTCTTTATGGTATATTTCTCGATTTAGATATCATTATTACACAATTAAAGTCAAAAGTAACACAGCTACGTGTGTCTTTTTCCCGCGCTTCAACGAAACAGGCAAATGTTGAATATGTATAAAGTTGTACTTTCGGTGATTTTTTTAAAAATTCGTATAGCCTATTCATAAAATAAACAATATTGACTAGTGTGTCATTGAATATGATGGTGATATTATTAGAATATTTGATAACATAAAACGATAAACACATTAAAATGATATATTTATATATTTTTATTGCATTGATTTCTATGTAATTATGCTATAATGTTTCTAGGATGGTAACCAATGTCCGACATGAAGTGTAATAATTTCCCTTTATAACATTATAACAACAGGATTTCAAAAGAACCATCTAACTGATTATGTACTTATAACTTTATTTTCCTAAAATAAGAGTAAAATATTATTCTTAATTAAGATATTAATATATTTCTTATATAATTTGTCTTAGAATAACATAACTAACGACTGCTGATCTCCCATGCTTTCTAAATATAGATAGTAATTATACAACGGAATTATGTAATGTCTCTAGACAGTGCAAATTACCATGTTTATTCTTGAAAAGTTTATATGTAAAGCTAATCTGCATATTATAGGGCAATTATGTTATATCATAAATATTTTTTATTCTTATCACATGTATTGCATTTGCTTTACATAATATAATTCAGGCTATTTTTTTAGACCAACAAAGAAAATTCTGCGCACACCACTTGTACTACTTAATGCTTTAATCTAACTGAATGAGAAATACTTATATTGAACTTGCAAACATGCAATGAAATAAAAACAAAAATAAGAATCCCTAAAGAAAGTCCAAAACGGAAAAAATAAAAATGTTGCAGGCTCGGTTTATTGAGCCTTTTATGGTCAGTACTGGAAAGTGTAAGCTAATGTCCACGCCCCCTGAACAGCTTAAGCAGAATGCAGCATTGAACATGAAAATGGTGAAATTTTGAATTTAGAAACATCCAGATGTATTCATATGGCGGATATCATGAAACTGTCAATGAGACACGTTATTGCCATTCCATGAAAAGCGGCGTATGTTCCCTAAGTCATAGAAAATGTCTGGTCTAAACGACAACTACCAACAGTAAAACGCAGCAGTAACAATATTTGCCCTACGGTTCATTTTCATAGTATTACTAGCCTAATGATTGACTGGGGGTCATGACGTAATTTAAAACCAAAAATGTTCACCCAAGCTTCAACCGTATCTTGATAAAATATTGTCATTTTGATAATATATCAT